TGCCATCGAGGACGAGCCAGATGGCGGCCCTGCGGCCCCAGTCCGTGGCGAGGTTGGCACAGGCGCAGCATCGGCGCGCCGCCCTGCCAAGACGCCATGGGCAGAGTTCAGGCTCAACAGTCTCGCTCTCGATCCTTGGAGCTGGGCACGTGCGGCAGCGGCGGGGCTGGGCACGGCGGCCTTGGAGACGTGGTCGCCCTGGCGCAAGCGCTCGAGCCGCAGAGGTATTCGATGACCTCGCCCCTATTCCGCGGCGGGGAATCGTTCCGAGATTGCGAGGGCGAGAAAACAGCCATTGCGCTGCGGCCACGCACACGTGGCGGCACATATACACATCGCGGCCTCGCTGCCGCGCCGTGCGAGCTGGAAGACCACGTTGCGACAGATGTCGCACGCCGCATGTCGACGGCAGAGTTGCGGGGCGCATTGCCTTTGCACTCGCGGGCGCAGGGTTTGAGAACCAAGGCATTCCAAGCGTTGGCCGTGACCATGCGCCTGGCTGAGGAGATGCGCGACCTCCACAAGGGTTTTTTTTTTCAAGCAATTCAGGTTGCTCGCCACTCCAGTTGACGATTCTCGCACCAGGGAGATTGAGCACGATGTTCATCTGTGGTGCCCTTGGTCGGAAGCGTTCATCGGGACGTGGGGGGGGGGCATGGTTTGGCGTGCGACGCAGCTTTAATGGACTTGCGCGCGGTTGTGCTGTCAGCTTCTTTTGACGCGAGCGCCTTGGGAGCCAAGCATTCTGCAATTCGCCGCGTGCTTCTCGGTCGCAGCAACCAGGCCGCGCCGCCGTCAGTGGGCGATGTTGCTGCGCTCGAGGTCATTCGGTTGTATTGAAAGCACGCTGCCCGCGAGGGGGGCATCTTGCCCCCGGCGTCTGCGGCTGCCGATGACGGCGGTGATGTAGACGGACCTGGGCTAGATGCGACTGGCGGACACGCGCAGGCCCCCTGGCAAGAAGAGGCGCCGCGGCGGCGGCGCACGGCGAATGTTCGCGGCAAGCCATCCTGAAGTGAGAGACATGGGCATCATGTCGGATACGCACGACAACCTGACCCCCGAGGAGCGATGCCAGTTGCTCGAGCGGGGTCGGTCCGCCACGGAGCAGCACCGCTTGGGCAGTGCAGCTACACAGGGTTCTACTCGGGTGGCCGCTCGTGCAGCTAAGAAGCAGCGGCGCGAGAATGAGGTCGCCTACAGGCTCGTCCAACAAGCTTTGCTGGATGGCCCCTTGCAAGGGACGCATTTTTCAACGTCTGTAATTGAGCCGCGCGTCCCTGGGAAGAACGGCTGGGAACGCGCCATGACATTGAAAGCTCGTTTCACGGCAGAGGGCCCCGTCTCGATTGCCGTGGTCGAGAAGCGCCGCCAGACGCTGATGCAGCATGAGGATGGCCCAGACCATGGGGGTGCTCTCGTACGTGAATTCCTCGACGCTGCGCCAGCCTGTCGACAGTTCCGAGATTGCTTGCGACCCCGAACCACATGCCATGATTCGGTTGGTGAGCGCCCCCTGAGGCGCATGAGGTTCGAGCCAACCGATGCGCTAGCAGTCGGGGCGCGTCTTCTCAGAGTCCTCGCACTTCTGCTGCTTCACAAGCGGCGCGCGAGCGCTTGCGGGCTCAATGGGCCCAACTGCATAGACAAGTGGAGACTTGTCCCGTGCCCGAAGTGCCCGAACAGGTGGACGGACAAATCCTATTCACGAACTTCACCCACATTAGCAAAGGAGATGGCATCAGGAGGGAGAGGGGGTGGAGGAGGCAGGATGAATGGAGGAAGTGTGGAGGACGGAGGTTCATGGGCCAAGGGTGGGTGCGCAGGAAATGGCAGAGGCCACCTCTGAAGGTGACCCGCCCCTCCATGTGCTTCACGTCTGGGATCTGCATGTGCAAGCGCGGGGCAGAGAGCCGCATGGAAGTCATGGGCGACAACATTCGCAAGGCCGCGAGTGTGTCCCTGCGTGGAGCCTGCGACGGAAAAGCTCTTCAGCTTGGCCCCTTCGCCGCCCTTTTCGCCGGCGCCCCTGCCCCCGGCAAGGCTGCCGCTGCCGGCTGCGAGGTTGGCGGGCTGCAGTTTCCATGGGGGCATGTTTGTTATGCATCTTCACCCCCGATCTGTATCTGATGGCATCGCGCTTCGCCGGCAGAGCCATCATCTTTACGCGAGTGTCTTGCAGGGGAACACGTTCTCACGTCTGCTTTGTAACGGGCGAAGAATGGCATCACATGGACTTTTTCGCCGTCGGGGGCACCTGCCCCTGGGCGGCTGGAAAATTCAAGCCCCTACGGCGCCGCCGTAAAGGTATAAACTTTCCAGCCGCCCAGGGGCAGGTGTCCCCGACGGCGAAAAAGTTTATGTTATACCGTTTTTCGCCCGTTAAGCTTTCGGAGCTTCAACTTTTTGGCGGGGGCTCGGCTGCCTCGACGAGAATCTGCGACGGGGGGCCGCGTCTGGAGGGTTAACCACTGGAACCAGCTGGGCTTGGACACCCTCCTACCCCAGAAGGTAGGGCAGCGCGAGCTCCACGCGATGATTCGCAGAGGGCACATGCGCGCGCTCCGACCCCCGCCCGGGATTGACGGACGGCAGGCCGTCGGAGAGGTGATCAAGACCTGGGCCCTGGCCGGGAAGGAGCTGCGGGAGCGGCTCGCGACGGGCTGGGAGACGCGGCTGGGGGCCGAGGATGCGGCCGGCCCCGTCATCCCCAGCCGCCCCCGCCCTGCGCGCATTTCAAGCGCCAACAAGCGGCCGCCCGCGAGATCAGGGAGAGCGCCGGCGGGGAGGCCCCGACGAGAGCCGAGGAGGAGGACACCGACTTCCAGCAGTTGGAGCCCCTATTGCGCCGGCCCGCCTTCGCCTGGGGTGTCAGGACGAGGGAGATCTTTGCGCGCCGGGCGCTGGTCCGCGGCGATGGCCGACGCTGGCTTCCCCGCGTCGGAGTCTGTGGAGCTCTACGAGCAGCCGCTCTCCCAGGCGGGCCCGCGCGAGGACCGCGACGCGCTGCGGCCGGAGGCGCGGGGGCGCATCCTGCTGGGCGCGGGCGCGGCGCCGGGCCCTGAGGAAGCCAACGTTTGGCGGCTCGGGCCGCCGTGCGTCACCACCCACGCGGTCTGGCGGCTGACGGACGGAGGGGCCCGGACATTCGAGAAGCCCGATGGCGACGGCACCGAGGTGGCCGCGAACATTTGCGCCGACTTCGCGGCCGACGTCGCAGAGCGCCTCGACGTGAACGACCGGGAGTGGCTCCTCGAGCCCAGCTGCCGCGACGGGCGCTGCCCGAAGATCTGGGGCCGCAAGCGGATCAAGCTGCTCATCGAGAGGGCCGGCGCGAATGCCATCACGATCGCGATGTGCGAGTGGGGTCTTGCGCCGCCGGACCGGCCGAGCTCACGATGTGGCCCGTGAGCAAGGGTTTGTACCTATGGGCCCTCGCCTCGGCGAGGAGGTGTTCGGGGCGCCGCGAGCAAGTCCCCCTAGAAGGCCCCTTGCCGCGCGACGTCTCCGACGAGCAGGCTGCCACCTTCAACGCCAGAGACGAGACCCCCCTCTCCGAGGCGGAACGTCGGAAGGTACGGGGCCTCCTGAACCGCATCGCGCTGACCGGGACCGAGGCGCAGGGCCTCGGCAACGACGAAGAGTGGAGGCGGCCAACCCTCGGTGCGGAGCTGCTCAGGCCGCTGAACGACCTGATCCCCAGGATGGCGCCGGACAACTTCCAGCGGGCGCTTCTCGAGTTCAAGAGCACGGACAAGCGCCTGCAGGCCCCCCTCGAAGCAGGGCAACAGGCCCTCTTCTTCGGCTACGACCGCGACGAGCGCTTCTGGGCCACCTTCGGCGTCCAGGCCCTGTGGCTTCGGCACGGCGCACGGGCCATCAGCGGTGCACCCACACCGCTGAGCCAACAGTGCCGACCCGGGGAGCTGGAGGCACTCGGTTTCCGCGCTGGGCTGCGCGGCATGCGGAGGACCCGCCACGCCGGGCAATGCGCGCCCAGGCTGTGTGCGGCTTGGAACTTCGTCCTGAAGGCAGCAGCCCGCGGCCCCCCTCCCAGCGCCCTCCAGAACAAGCTGGACGCGCTCTGCAGAGAAGCGAATGCATCTTGAGTCGCAGCACCCACTCGGCATGCTTGCTTCACCTCCGACGCGGTCGGGGGAAAGGGCGCCACTCGGCGAGCGGCGCAGACGCTCCGACGGATGTGGCCATCGTCTAGCGCGCTTAAACTCCCGCCGGCCTGCGAGCCGCAGCCCCTGACCCAGACCGAAAGGGCTGCGCGGCTTGCGGAGGGCCTGCCACGCCGGGCAATGCACGCCCAGGCTGCCAGCGCCCTCCAGAACATGCTGGACGCGCTCAGCAGAGAAGCGAATGCGGGGGCAGAGAAGGCGGCGAGAGCCGGCGAAAGCCTGGCGGACCCAGAGGGTCTTCCGATCCCCGAGGGGGATCGGGCTGAACATTGAGAAAAAATGATCGGTGTGTAAAAAGTGTTCGGGTATGTTGGCCAGACATAACAAAGTGATCGGGCGTGGGTGCATGTACATATCTCTTTAACACAATTAGTCATCATGAAATAAGTAGTATTCATATGTAGCACTGCATTGTATTGTTATTATATTCATCAGTATTACTACTACCATTATGCCACGACGTTGCGTTTCGGGTTCCGAGCAGTTGGGTACCACGCGCGAATGTGTTGCCGGTTTCTCCGTTGCGCCTTCGGTCCTCGATCACATGCGGGATGCACCAGTTTCGGCTTCCTCGCGCGGTTCCCCGATCCCGCGCTAGTGTAATATTCGTTCTAGGTCGTTCGAAGTTCATGCCCTGTCACCGCGCCCCCCTCGCCCGCCGCACCCACTGCACCCTCGTCGCTCACGTGCGCGACTCATCGTCATAGTCAACAGTGCCTCCCCCGTTCGCACTGCTTGCATCCCCCGTGCACGGTCTCCGCACCCAGCTCGCCCCTCCTCTCCATAGCCGTTTTGGCTCGACCATGCCTGCAGGTGGAACTGTGGGGTGGGTGATCCCACCATACGGCAGTTGGAACGCGCCCATCGGCAAGGCGCTGATGTCGGGCTCGCAGGAGACGGCAGATCCTGCGAGGCCATGCAGAGGGGTGCCGGATTGCCCCGAGACCGACGACGAGGCAGAGCCGCCCACGCTGCCGCACGGCCGCGGCGGAACGCCCACATATCGCCAGCAGGAGGCCACCGTCGCACAGGCGCAGACGCAGGTGGAGACCGCCTCGCAGGAGCGGATGGTCGTGGAGGCCGCATCGCAGACGCAGATGGTCGTGGAGGCCGCCTCGCAGATGCAGATGGTCGCGGAGGCCGCATCGCAGACGCAGGGTGTCGCGCAGGCCGCCTCGCAGATGCAGATGGTCGTGGAGGCCGCCTCGCAGAAGCAGATGGCTGCCTCGCAGGAGCCGATGGACGCGGACGCCGCCCCGCAGATCAACTCGCAGGTTGACGCGACCAGCGACGACGAGCCGCTGATGACCTCGCCGAAGAAGCAGGAGGTCCCGCTGAACGTCTGCAGGAGGGTGTCCGCCGCCCCGATCGCGATTGCCGACCCACCGCCCATGGGCCAGGTCGAGAACGGCAACGCCGGCGGCGGCAATCAGCAAGTGGGTGGAGTCATCGGTGCAGGTCCAGAGCGCGGCGTGACAGGCCGCGAGCATGACGTGTGGCACGATGGCGCGCCAGACCACGGTGGTTCTGCGCAGCCTCCGTGTCCGCCGTCGCCCTTGTCGGCGGCCATCGGCGAATCGATCGTGGCAGAGACTCGGAGGAAGGAGGCAGCCCGCAAGGAGGACGACGATCTACGGGATGGCATTGCGCTGAGCCGCGCGGGTGCCGATCGCAAGGGCGTCGCTGCCGAGGGGCACGCCCCCGCAGGATTCGCACCCAGGGTTTGGCAACCACTCGGCGGGTGGCTCGATGTCGACGCCCATCGAGGCACGCATGGCACATGAGGGAGGCAGCCGATCAGCGGGGGAGCGCGTGCATCCCAATGCTGAATGTTAGGCGATGGGCCGATGCGCGCTGGGACTTGATCGGCCGCCCAGCCAGTCAAATCCCAACGCAAAACCCAACGCGTTGGGGTTCGCGTTGGGATTTGCGCGCTCCCCCTGCTCAGCCGTGCTCTTCCCCCCCCGTTCGCGGCAGGGTGGCTTCGAGACGCCGAAGAAGCACCTGCGCCACTCTGCTCAGGGCGTGGTCCACTACATGGCGACGTTCGAGGACCGCAGCCGCCGCCCGCGTCTCTGCGCGTGTGCGTGCAGTGCCGACATGCCTATCATATGGCGAATCGTCGCCAGCTCGCCGTCTTCATGGGTTCTGCCCTGCCCTCCCCCCCATCTCAGCGCATCCCCGCGGCGTCCATAGGTTCCCATCGCTGTCATTCGTGCATCGATCGTGGGGGGGCCACCGTCATTGTCATTAACATCACGTATGTTGTAGGCACGACGGCCCGAACATAGTCTTCGAGCATGGCCACACGTACGTTCCACGGGGATGACAAGCGGCTGTTGGTGGTGTGGATGTTCCACATCGATCAGGCTAGTATATACCACTTCGATGCCCCCCCTTCCCCCACCGCCACCGCCACACACACGCGCACACGCGACCAATCGATTAGTTTCACCAGCCCCGCACCGGCCGACCCGATCACCTACACAACTGACGATGTGCACGAGGCGAAGTCCGACAAACGTGCACTGTTACGCCATAGGGTGTTGCTCAGGGACGCCCGTGAGATCGCCATGAAAGTAAACCCCGTAGCAGCGAAGGCTGATGGTGACGCTCCAAACACGTCACCGCTCAACAACATTCAACAGTGTCTTCAGTATCCGCCCCCCCGCCTGTCATCACCACCCTCCCGCCCCCCCTCGTGCCCCTTCCTCTCCTCATCGTGCTCGGGCACCCTCCCCCGAGGCAGTGCTTGCAGAAATTGCACGGAAGAAGGAAGCTAGCTGGCATCTCGCGAGTACGGGGTCCCGCAAGTGGGTCAAAGACACATCCAACATGTTAAGGAACATGCTGCGACACGTCAGCCAAGCACTGATAAAGACCGACGGGTGGGCCAAAACGCGCGTCGCTGATGTTGTCGGCACAGGGGCTGGTGCTCGTCGCCGCGGTTTGGATTCGAGACTCGAAGGCAGGGGTCGGGGGCATTGGTCGGGGCCAGTCGCGCGATCCGACGCCCGAGGAAGACCGCGTGGGCGCGAGAGGCGTTCGGGCCAGCGAAGGAGGGGGGCGGCGACGACGACGGCGACGACGCCGACGACCCGCCCGCCGATTCCTACGAGAGCCAGCCGCAAATCGACATCTCCGCCGATAGCAGCGGGATCGGGGAACGCGAGCCTCAGGATGTCCCGAGCCCCCAGGAAATGTTGCCAACCCTGCCCACACTACAGACTGAAGGGGGGGGGGGGGGGGGGGGGGGAGTAGTGTGTGGTGTGTGTGTGTGTGCGTGTGTGTGTGTGTGTGTGTGTGTGTGTGTGTGTGTGTGTGTGTGTGTGTGGGGGGGATTTGCGCGCGTAGAGCGGGGGTGGTATAAGGTAAGATAGGGGGTTGGAGGGAGACGCCATGCACGAGATCAATACACAAACGTGGATAGGGGAGGCACCAGACAAGGATACCGCGGGCAAACACACAGCGACACGCACCTCATCGGACAGCGTGATAGTCAAGGGCGGTAGGCGCTACAGCCGATGTGGGCTCGAGATCGTTCGCAGCGCCGACGGCTGGCACTTCGGGTGGTCAGGGCCTCTTCAGGCGACGTCTCAGTGAAAACCGTTCCTATCCAACATTGAATTCACACGGAGTGTGAGGGGCGTGACTGCGGTCGGTGATCGCCAGGCGTCGTTCGGAGGTGTTCTGACCACCCACAGTCCGTGTGGTGACTTCGTGCGGGCGGCAGTGGCATTCCAGAGTACGTCAGGGCGGTCGTCGAGGACAGGTCTGGGCTGCTGGTCGCGACCTGGGGCGACGGGCGTCGGTGGCCAGTGCCCGACACGTCGCCAGGGATGGCCGAGCAGCAGAAGTCATCCCCGAAGATCTTGTTCAGAAGCGAGTGCCCTAAGCAGGAGATCATCAAGTGCGAGATTGTCAACCACAGGGTGAAGGGGACGTGGGTTCGAATTAGTCGTGGAGGCAAACAGCTCTGCCAGCTCGCGGGGCACGACGAGAAGTATTTCGAGGCTGCCGGATCGCCCATCATCCAGATGGGCAAGGACTACTGCGATGGCAAGAAGGACAAGGCCGAGATCGAGGCGGCGAAGGCAGATTTTCTTCGAGGTCACGGCAAGCAGGAGACGACGGACAAGCAGGACGAGGTGACGAGCGCTCCGAAGGGCAAGCGCAAGGCAACGGCCAAGGCCAAGGGCGGCACCATGGTCACCGAGGAGCCGTCCAAGCACTGCCACGACGACGAGGCCGGCCGCGTCGCCAGTGATGGAGAGCCCGCTCATCGAGATGATGACGACGGAGACAATGCGGCCGACCAGCCAGAGGAGCATGCCGATGAGGGGGGGGAGGGGGAGGCGGAGGTCCCCGATGGCGCCGATGGCGGCGCCGTGCTGATCAAGAAGAGGCAGGCCGCATCCAGGAAGAGACCGTCCGCAACTGATGGCGAGCAGCCGCCAGGTGCGCCCGAGGAGAAGGCGATGCGGACCCACCCTGCAGTGCCTGCCGCGCCTAGCACGCTTCCTAGCTCGGTCCCGCAGCAGGGGCCATCTAGGCTCGGCGCACCTCCTCCGAAGGTGGATTTAGTTCGCGCAGCGCTGGTCGGCACCGCGTCGACGCCGCACCCGCTGAAGAGCGGTCCCAAGCAGCTGCGCGACCCGTTCAGGCCGCGCGTGAGCTCGTCAGATTCAAGTTGGCGCCAGATGGTGCGGTACTGTTGCACAGAAACCGAGCGCGCAGATGTCGGGTCATCATCGTTGCGTTCGGCATCGATGCATCGTGGCATCGTGCCGTCAGAGGGGGAGATGAGGAAATAAGCGGGATGATGGGCGAGTCGCAATGGGACAGCGGCGGATCCGATGACACTGGATGAGGGCGAAGGTGCGAGGGCGGCGGGAGGAGGAGGAGGAGGAGAAGGATAAGGAGGAGGAGGAGGAGGAGGAGGCCGAGGAGGAGGCGGAGGATGAGACTGATGATAGTGGAGGAGGATGAGGATGATGCGGCATGGGGGATGACGACGCCACATCAAATCCCAACGCAAGGCACAATGCGTTGGGATTTGCGTTGGGATGTTGCGTCTGTCTGGGCGTCGTCATCCCATGCCTCAGCTGCCTCGCCCACCGCCCCCCCCCCCCCCCCCTCGCCCGCGCGGTTGAAATCACCGCCCCCCCCCCCCCCCCCCCCCTCGATGGAGCGCGGGGTGAGCGGAGATGGAAGCCGAGAGCGATCGGGGGGCGGTGGTCATTGGCGGCGACGGTCGGAGGGATGTGAAGTGATCTCACGGGAGGGTGCAGGGATGGACCAGATGGGGAGGGGGGCGCAAGGCGAGGGGCGGGCATGCTGAAGACAGGGCCCCATCCCTCGGCGCCGCCAGGACAAGTTGAACAGGGCCCTGGGCGGGGAAAAGATCGACGAGCTGGCAATCAACAACCTCTTGCTCGAGCTGTTCAACAACATGAGCCTGAGGAGGGTATTCGCGGAGAAGGGCCACGACAACATCAGCGAGACGACGGGCGCGATGATGCGCGACATCAGCAGCGACGGCAACCTGCAGAACCAGAGCAACTGGCTCGGCCCGAGCGCGAAGGCAAGTGACACGAGTGATGGCGCCCAGAGTCAGGGCGGCAAGGATGATGTGGAGCAGCTGAACTTCTGGAAGGCGCTCGAGAAACGCAGTTTCCAGTTTCCGCTCGAGCACAGACAGTGCACCGGCGAGTTTTTAAAGTGGTGGCAGCAGGTAAATGGCAACGTGCTAAAGAAGCTGGCGCGCCCGCGGGGAAGAAGCAGCGCGCCGAGTACGACGCCGTCAAGGGCATGGGCAGCACCGCCAAAAAGAAGGATTTCGGGGCGAGCTGGGCCAAAGGCGAGTTCGACACATTCATGGACATTGGGCCCCAACAGAAACGCAGCGTGCACAACCCTGGGGGGGGGGGACATGACAACGAGGGCCGATGGGCCCATGGCCCGAGGACCGATGGACCAATGCGCCGACGGAAAGATAGAGGGGACGGGGGCCGAGGGACCGATGCAAAGGAGGCTCGACTAATCAGGGGATGGGCATGGTGAGCGATGGAGATGTGCCACCGCCGCCGCCCCAGGACAAGCGGACCCACACGAAGGAGGACAAGCGCCAGGTCCTAAGTCAAGGGCGTCTACCGCCCCGTGGGGCGGATCGCCTGGCTCAACGGCGGAGGGGTCCTGGGCTGGCGGCAGGCGCGAACGGTGACACTGAATGTCACGACGGCGGGTGGGGGAGCGGGGAATGTACTGATGATGATGGGATGTCACGGTATGACGGTGCATGAGATGGAGGAGCGGGCAGATGATGATGCTGATGGTGATGATGATGATGACGAGGGGTGGTGTGAACTAGAGGTATGATGATGTTGCTGTTACTGGTAATGATGCGGATGCGGAGAGATACATACGGGTGCATCAAGATGATGATGGTGATGCTGATGGTGTTGGTGATGATGATGATGATGCTGATGGTGGTGCTGATGAGCGGTGTGCTCTCAGACAGTTTGGGAACGATCTGGGGAGATGGTGGCAGCGTGGTAGCGGCGACTATCCGTCCTCCCAGGCAGCCCGCATCGTCTCCAAGGCCATCCAGATCGGCCCCCCGTGGATCCTATTCGACGACGCGCCGGAGGCGATCCAGGCGCTGAACTGCGAGACGGCGGGGCACTTAAATCGCTGA